CAGCTGCTGCTGCTGCTGTTGCTGCGCTGCGCTCAAGGTTGCTGCTGCTGCTGTTGCTGCTGCTGCTGCTGCTCCTTCACTCAATTACACCTAGAGCATACACACTAGATTTCCTGCGGCTGCGATGAGTGCTGCCGCCGCGACGCCTGCTGCTGCTGTTGCTGCTGCTGCTGCTGCTGCTGCTCAACGCGTCTCTCTAAGTCTCGGATTACACCCGAGAAGCGCCTGGCGTAATCTTCGTTCTTCTGGTTCACAACGTCTGCAGCACAGCACAGCAACAACAAGGGTTTAGGGTTTAGGGTTTAGGGTTTGCAGGGCGCAGATGCGCCAATCGAGCACGGGGGTTAGAGGCTCTAGGGTTTAGGGTTTAGGGTTTAGGGTTTAGGGTGCAGGGTGTAGCGCACAGTAGTAGATTAGCGCTGGAGATGCGGCCCAGAAGAGCACCATAAACGCCTCCTTTGGCGACACTTTCATCCTGCAAACCCCTAAACCCTAAACCCTAAACCCTAAACCCTAAACCCTAAACCCTAGAGTCTTGGCCATTTACCGGGCTTTAAAGGCGATATGCTTCTAATTAGAGGGATTTATGCAGATGTCTTTTTAAATATTTTAACTTTGTAGTCTTCTTCACATTGGTTTAGTTGCTGCTGGGGCTGAGCAGCAGCAGTGCATGCAACGGCAGCAGCAGCAACAGCAGCAGCAGCGGCAGCAGTAGCAGCAGCATCGAAGCTTCCAGCCTTCTTCGCCGCTAATTCAGACGGCGCGTCTTCTCCTTTAAAAGCTAGTGTGGGGAGCGCCGCTCACACACGTGCAGCAGCAACTGCAGCAGCAACCGCAGCAGCAGCAGCAGCAGCAACAACAACAACAGAAACAGCAGCAGCAACAGCAGCAGCCGAAGCAGCAGCAACAACAGCAAGCTGACTTCGGTGGCTGCTAACGACATCCAGGAGTTTATCTCGCTGCTTCCGCGCCAGCTGCAACAGCAGCAGCAGCAGCAACAGCAACAGCAGCAGCATAACAGGCTGTAGCAAAGACAGCCTAGGGAGTAGCAGAAACCGCGGCAGCAGCAGCAACAACAACATCTGCAGCACCATCAGCAGCAGCAGTCGCAGCAGCAGCAGTCGCAGCAGCAGCAGTCGCAGCAGAATCCCCAGCAGCAGCAGCCGCAGCGGCACAGCAACAGCAGCACAGCCGCAGCAGGAGCAGCAGCAGCAGCAGCAACGATGGGGGCAACACATTCTCAGCCTGTGGAGGGTGGGAGGGCTCGATTGTTTTGGGGTGTATGCGCAGTTGTCGGTGCTGCAGCAGCATTCTATCTAACGAGCAGCAGCAGCAGCAGCTGCTGCAGCAGCAGCACGGGGTGTACAGACGAGGAGATCCTCGCGCTTCTAAAAACCATCACAAAGGAGTTTCACAGAGTCTTCGCGGAGGCAGCACAGTAAACCCTAAACCCTAAACCCTAAACCCTAACTCGCCTCATTCTACAGTGTATCTCCTCTATAGGAGGGTTTTGCAAACCCTCATCACGCTCAAACCCCAGACAGCACCAACCCCTTGCAGGCCAAACCCTAATTCCCACTGCACAAGAAAGAGCTTAGGGTTTAGGGTTTAGGGTTTAGGGTTTAGGGTTTAGGGTTTAGGGTTTGGGCGCAGAATGGCATCGAATTTGCTGTCGAGCCTCGACGCGAAGGGGAAGGGACGCGGCAGCCCGCGTTCCATTCGAGAGACGGTAAACCCTAAACCCTAAACCCTAAACCCTAAACCCTAAACCCTGAGCTAAATACTGGGGGCAATGCAGCCATCGCAAACCCTAAACCCTAAACAGCTCGGGAATGGTGGCGTTTGTCGCTTATGCTTCTGAGTCCTCGTTCTCGACTCGCTGCCGCTGCTGCTTTAGGGTTTAGGGTTTAGGGTTTAGGGTTTAGGGTTTGTGGATGCAGGGCTCGAGGTGCCTCCGGAGCTAACCCAGGAGAGGGTTTTGCAGATCCTGCATAAAATACAAAGACGAAAAGAAGATAAATTCAAACAAATACTGCAAGCCACCACGGAAAGAGGTAAACCCTAAACCCTAATCCACACCCAAACCCTAAACCCTAATTCAAACAACCCAAACCCTAAACCCTAATTCAAACAACCCAAACCCTTTAGTTTGTGTCCTCTGGTTGCCTTTGGCGCATCTCTGCAGTTTGTTTGCCTGTCTCTGCCTTTTCCTTGTTGTCTCTCTCCGGTCTCTTGCTGTCGAAGGGTTTAGGGTTTAGGGTTTAGGGTTTAGGGTTTAGGGTTTGCGTCTGCAGAGCTGTCTCCTGAGGGCGCTAGTGCAGCAGTAACAGCGCAGCTGCAGGAGAGCAACACCGAAGCAGAACGCTCGGTGCTGCTGGAGGAGCAGCTGCTGCTGCAGCACGAACGCCAGCAGCAGCAGCAGCAGCAGCAGGAGCCGGTTGAGCTGACGCCGATGGTGTTTCTACAAGCGATCGCTACTCACTGCAGAGACCCCGAGTTTAAGGCCAAGGCGAGCCTAAACCCTAAACCCTAAACCCTAAACCCTAATTGAAGGGCCTTATGCAGAGTTCAATCTCTAAACCCTTTATTTGGTCTCTGACGGGCTCTAGGGTTTGGCGTCATCCAGTGGGCGCGACAACAACCTGCTGCCCCTCCTACGGTTTAGGGTTTAGGGTTTAGGGTTTAGGGTTTAGGGTTTGCGTGCAGAAAGCCGCAGTAGATGAGAGCCACTCCGAGCATATCTTTGATTTGCTGCGTCGCGGTAGAGTGCAGCAGCAAGCAGAACCAGTTGTTGCTGCCTGCGACAAGAGACTGCAGCAGGCAAGCCCTAAACCCTAAACCCCAAACCCTAAACCCTAAACCCTATCTTGAAGCGAAAGGAAGCACTTCAGCGAGGGTCTGGTGTCGGAGGCCGCGTGGGGCCCCTGCTCTGCTGGAACTCTGGCCTGGTGATTAAACTTAGGGTTTAGGGTTTAGGGTTTAGGGTTTAGGGTTTGCGGTGCAGTCAACGTGGCCGGAGCTTGCTCTTCGCCTGGAGAGCTGCGAAGGGATGGATGTCTTTGTACTCTGTCTCGTGGCACCTGCCACAGCCTGCAGCAGCAGCAGCAGCAGCAGCAGCAGCAGCAGCAGCAATGATGTACGTGCTCCTCTAGGGTTGTTAGCCGAGCTCTCTGCTTTTATAGAAGAGGCAGAGAGCGAGATGTGGGGTTTAGAGCAGCTTACACCCCTTTGTCTAGACAGTGCAGAGATGCCTTACGACGGTACGAAACCCTAAACCCTAAACCCTAAACCCTAAACCCTAGCTCTGCCAGCACCGTATCTACCTCCACCTCGCAGCATAGCAAAACCGCGCTTCCCGCTCTTTGCAGTCTTTACGGGTATGATGCATCAAGGGTTTAGGGTTTAGGGCTTGCTTAGGGTTTAGGGTTTAGGGTTTAGGGTGGTGTGCATGCAGCTGAGGAGTATAAACCTCTGCGGGAAGCAGTAGCAGAATATGGGCACTGCTTTGCTTTGTTTAAAGGGCAGAAGCTGAAGGTGTGCTAAACCCTAAAGCCTAAACTAAACCCTAAACCCTAAACCCTAAACCCTAGACCCTCGTTCGCTGAGCGTAGCCAGGAGAGCCCCAAATGCAGGTCAGACATCTTGCATATTGCTGCTGCTGTTGCTGCTGCTGCTGCTTCTGCTGCTGCTGCTGCTATTTCCGTCTTGCTGCACCTGCAGGGTATCTCTGCTTCAGTGTCTACCTTCAAGAAAATTCTTCAAGAAGCCATTGGCAGCAGCAGCAGCAGCAACAGCAGCAGCAGCACCAGCAGCAGCAAACCGCCTGCGAGCAGTGCAGCCACTGGGCCTGCAGCAGCAGATGCCTCTACACCGCGCGCATCGGATGCAGCAGCAGCAGCAACAACAGCGGCAGCAACACCACCAGCAGAAGCAACTACACCAGCAGCAACAACATCAGCAGCAGCAGAGGCGCTCAATCCCCCTCCTAAAACAAAAGCAGCAGCAGCAGCAGAAGAAGATGCTGCTGAGACAGCGCCAGCAACAGCAGCAGATGCAATTTAGCTGCATCATAGGAAACACTCGACTTGCCGCGGCAGCATCAGCAGCAGCAGCAGCAGCAGCAGCAGCAGCAGCAGCAGCATGAGCAGCAGCAACAGCAGCATCAGCAGAAGCGGCAGCAACAGACGCATTGTTTTGTTTTAAGGGAAAGGGTTTAGGGTTTAGGGTTTGTTGGCCTAGTGGCCGGTGTTATATGCACAGCAATAGTTGCTGCAGCTGCTGCATTTGCTGCTGCTGCTGCTGCACTGTTGCTGCTGCTGCACTGTTGCTGCTGCTGCAGCACCAGCAGCAAGCCGCTGTGGCGCAGGCGTCTGCTGCAGACAGCCTGAGAATTGTTGAGGGAACCCCCGTTGAACTGTGCAGTGCTTTGATGACTTTTAGGGTTTAGGGTTTAGGGTTTAGCAGCAAGCGACCACCTGCGCTGCAGCAACCCCAGCATCATCAGAAGGAGACAGAAGGAGAGCCCGCAGCTGCCGAGACACTCGAAGTGCTTCTGCTGCTCCCCTCAGCAGCAGCAGCGGCTTTCCTGTCGGCCCGTGCTGCACCTCAATGTCTCTTAGACGCAAACCGCCTGAGCAGCAGTAGCAGCAGCAACAGCAGCACAAGTATGTTGGACAGCTGCAGCGAGCTGCGCGAAGACACTGCATGCATGCAAACGTCAGTGTCTTCGTACGTAGACCACCTGAGGGTTTAGGGTTTAGGTAGGGTGTAGGGTTTAGGGTTTAGGGTTTAGGGTTTGTACTTGGGCTGAGGATGCTCAAGCCAACCCCAAGAGCCTTCACTGCTGCCTCCTTCGCAGCAAATCTGCGACTTAAGAACCGGGAGGCCTTCCTTAGTGCTGCTGCTTCGTGTGCTGCAGCAGTTGCTGCACTTGCTGCTGCAGCTGCTGCTGCACTTGCTGCTGCTGCTGCCCTGCTGCTGCTGCTGCTGCTGCTGCTGTTGCTGCTGCTGCGCTGCTGCTGCTGCCTCGCGGCCCAGTGTATACGAAAGAGAGACGGAAAAGACAGACGCATCTCAGCAGCCTCAAGTGGAGACAGCAGGTTTGAGGTGTATCGGCACATAGAGCTGCATGTACACCCCGTTGTTGCTGCTGCTGCAGATGCTGCAGCACGCGGGTCCTCTCCTGCTGCTGCTGCTGCTGCTGCTGCTGCGTCTGCTGACAGCAAACGGCGAAGGGTCCTGTGAAACCGCTCTATAGAAACAATATCCATCCCCACGCCAGCCACATATAGCCTGCGCAGCAAACCCTAAACCCTAAACCCTAATCTGCAGCCCTTTGCTCAGCACAGGGGTTTTGGGGGCTCCTATCGTGCTGACTGGCTGGGGGGTTCCAGCCGACCGAGGGCTTAGGGTTTAGGGTTTAGGGTTTAGGGTTTAGGGCTCAATCACCTGAATTGCCGCGGGGGGTTTATGCAGCATACAAACTCCTCTACTTCTCTCATCCGCTCGGTCTGTTGCGGAGTGTCGTGGGTAAACCTGTGCAAACCCTAAACCCTAAACCCTAAACCCTCATTTTCAAACCCTAGGCGTCACGCTCTAAGCTAGCAAGGGTGCATGCACGCTTAAACCCTAAACCTTAAACCCTAAACCTCAATACCACGGCGGCTAAGGGTGCCCCCAGATCCTAAACCCTAAACCACAAATCCTAAACCCTAAACCACAGACGCCAAACCCTAAACCCTAAACCCTAAGCCACAACCCCAAATCACCTAGCCTAAACCACTAACCCTGAGCTGCCAACCCTACTGCGGTTCTGCAAGCGCTGCAAACCCTAATAGGGATGAGAGGAGTGGAGTGAGGGTTTAGGGTTTAGGGTTTAGGGTTTACCCAAGTAGATGCAATATTGAGTGTACAAGCAGCAGCTGCAGTCTCTCCTCTATATACCAGGACCGCAACAAACGCCGCAGCACGCCTCTGCAGCAGCAAACACAGCAGCAGCAGCAGCTGCTGCTGCTGATTTAGACCAGAGCCAGCAGCAGCAGCAGCAGCAGCAACAGTAGCGGCAGCAGCAGCGCCTGCAGCAGCAGCAGCAGCAGTAGCAGCACTAGAAGCAGCAGCAAACAAACTTTTGAGGGAGAGGTTCAGGCTCTTCGTCTCTCATTGCAGCAGCCTCCAGCTGTCTCCTGTCGTCTTGCTGCTGTCTGTACACCACAGCTGCAGCACAGCAGCAGCAGCAGAAGCAGCAAATGACAGGCAGAGCAGCCCAGAGAACCCTCCCCGATGCTCGGCAGGTTTCAGTTTAAGGGTTTAGGGTTTAGGGTTTAGGGTTTACAGGGGCATAGAAAGACGTCCCCTAAGAACGTCCGCCGCCGCCGTCTGCGCAATGCCCTCAGTCCCTGCTGCAGCAGCAGCCGAGCCTCTGCTGCTGCTGCTGCTGCTGCTGCTGCGGTAGGGGTTGTGGCCGGTGCTGCAGCAGCTGCCAAGGTTGCTGCAGCAGGAGCTGCTGCAGCACCTCTTGCTGCTTCTGCTGCTGCTGCTGCCTTCAGCAGCAGCTCGCGCCTTTGAGAAAAACGCCTGGGGTCCACAGCAGCAAATGATAAGGCATCTGTTGAACCTACACACACATTGCTGCTGCTGCTGCTGCTGCTGCTGCTGCTGATGCTGCTGCTGCTGCTGCTGCTGCTCGGGTCATAGGCGCTGCGGATTTGTTGCATTTGCTGCTCCCCGACGCAGCGCACCCGCACGTGGCTTCTCTTCAGTCTGTACAGCAGCAGCAGCAGCAGCAGCAGCAGCAGCCACACGGAGATATAAAGAGTGCGCAGACGACGCAGCACCTGCCACTAGGGTTTAGGGTTTAGGGTTTAGGGTTTACCCTAGGGATGCCAGGAGGTCTAAGGCGAACGTCTGGAGTCCCTGGGGGTCTGCTGCGCCTCTCAGCAGCTCAGCCCCCTCAACAGTGACACAGCAGCCGCTGCTGCTGTTGCTGCTGTTGCTGCTGCTGCTGCTGTTGCTGCTGTTGCTGCTGCTGCTGCTGTTGCTGCTGTTGCTGCTTCTGCTGTGTTGCGCTGCTGCAGCAAGTGCTGCTTGTTCAAGGGGCTCCAACAGACCGTCATATATCTTAGCCTGTTTAGAGGCCCTTACAAAATCGTTGCTGCTGCTGTCGCTGCAGCAGCTGCTGCTGCCGTTGCTGCTTCTGCTGCTATTGTGCCTGCTGCTGCTCTGTCTCCTTCGACTACTACAGCTGCTGCTGCAGCTGTTGCTGCTGCTGCTGCTGCTGCTGCTGCAGGCACCTTGTGCAACGAGAAACGCACGGGGTGTGCGCGCGCCTGCTCTTGCCGTGTCCGCTGCAGCTGCTGCTGCTGTAGTTGCTGCTGCTGCAGTTGCTGCTGCTGCAGTTGCTGCTGCTGCAGTTGCTGCTGCTGCAGTTGCTGCTGCTGCATTTCCCTGGGATCGGCGTTGCAGTGGAGAGACTGAGAAGCATCTGCTGCTTTGTTGCGGGGT